TTTAATCTAAACCCTAAACACTAACCCATTTTTAGCTGGCGAATAAAGGAAATTTAAACCCTAAACAATACTTGGCTCTCAAATAAAGAAACTTTACCTAAACCCTAAACATTTTTCTGGCTCGGGAGCCCCAAGCGGACCTAGGGTCTTACTGGGATCATTAGATGACCATACCGGCTGTTTGAGCTATAGTGTAAACTCCTTGAAGGGGATTATGTAGGGATTATGTTGAGGACTACATAGGGCCTATAAAGGGGGATACCAGGACTACTCGGGAACTGATGGGGCTGTCTTGACAAACTCCCACATAAGAAGCCCATTGGCCAGGTACTCGTAGCCTAAGGCTGCGAACACGTGATATGCCTCTATTTTACACACAATCATGGAAAATCAAATGGAGAATGGAACATAAAATGGAAACTAGGATTAATTACATAGTGTTCTGTAGGGATTGTGTGAGCTAGCTATAGGTTAATATTAGGCTTATTGAAGAACCTCTTATAATAGTAAACATAGGGGTCCATCTTGTCGTCAAATCTAGTCCCTGATATAGCCCCTAGTAAGGAACCCATGTCCATGAAATCATGCAGAAAATATTGACTGTAGCTGTAGCTCATGTAACTCATGTAATCTATAGACATTGTGCCGCTGATTTATTTAGGAAGTCCATCTTTTTTTCTCACCAGGCTTTAGGGCAATTCCATAGTCACCTACAGCTACAAAGACAACAGAGAATACATGTGTTTGAAAAGTACCTACCTCACAAGATACCAACAATCCAGGAGTATTGTATAATACTGGACCTTTATAATGGTAAGCCCTAAGCTCTGAACCCAACACCCTAAGCCTCAAACAATAAACCGTAATCTCAGAACCCTAAACCTGGATCCGCCATAAACATGTTCAAGGGAGGGAATGATGGTGGAGGTGCTGTGAGCTCGGGAGATGGATCTCGGGAGCAAGTTCATCTGAGAGTTATGGAACCTATGTAGTTCCTCATGGTTGCGAAGCTAACGTTGTGTCGAATCCTGAAGCCCAACTTAGAAATGCGGTTGTCACGTTTTCCAAAGCAGATGGAGTGGATGTGGGAATCCAAAAGGACGCCCAGGAGTAGCTGCTTTTCTGCAGGAGGGCGGGGACGCCTACTGTGTGAATTTCTGGAGTTCTGATGTCGACCAGTGTCCTGTAGGCAGACGTAAAAGTCCTCTAGCTGAAAAAAACACTAAACCTTAAACCCTAAATTTCTAATCTCTAAACCCTAAACCTTGAACCCTAAAATTCCTAATCTCTAAACCCTAAACCCTAAACCCCCAAGCCCTAAATAGTAATTTCCGTTCTCTTTTCCATTATCCCATATCCCTAATATTACCCCAATGGGTACCTATATCCCCTTGAACCCTAAAATTCAAAATCTCTATAAACCCTAAACCTTGAACCCCATTATAGTAGTTTACATTTGCCTTTCCATTATCCCTATATAAACCCAATATAACCCCCTTAAAACCCTTTGAGGTATCCTAAACCCAGTCCTAATCTCTAAACCCTAAGCCCTAAACCCTTAAACTTTTCTGGAAGCCCAGGTACCCATATAGTAGGTCCTTGGGTTACAGATAGTATATAATCATATAGGGACTTAAGGACAGGAACCCAATATATAGGTAACTGGGTTTCTAGGGATTAAAACCCTAAACCCTAAAACCCTAAACCCTAATCCCTAAACCTTGGAACCCTTAAAATTTCTGGAAGGAGGCAAGAGCTGCTCGTAATCTCATGTCCCTGCCATCCTTCTCCGAAGTCCCAGCCCTGCGATTCTCGGACAGTGCAAAGCATTTTTTTGGGGGGGGGGTTTTAGGGTTTAGGTTTTAGGGTTTAGGTTTGAGGGTTTAGGGTTTAGGGTTGGGGGGGGAAGGCTTTGGGGTTTAGGGTTTAGGGCATCATCTGTCACAGCGCTTACTTTAGAGGACCTTATGACTGCCAATAGTATAGTCCCGTTATAAGGGTTCAAGAGAGTATACGTATATGTGGCTTAGGGGTTTAGTATTTAGGATGTCGGCATTTAGTTCTAAATCACCTATATATATATATACGTATATATATATATACTATGGTCCGAGATTTTCCATACTCCTGTATAGTTATGGAATGGTGTCCCTGAAGTAAACCTCAACATGATATATAATAGGTGTCATTATTCGGGCCCCTACATTAGGGCTTGGGAGTTGTTGGGAGATTTCTGGTTCAAAGCCTTGTTTGATCCGCGGTAGTATGTAGGGATAGTTCAGTCATTCGGGCAGGGCTTGGGGTATGCTGCAGTTTAGAATATGACCAACGGATGGTGTTTAAAATGCTGCTTTGCATGGGTTGTGATCTACCTGAACCCTAAACCCCTAAATGGGGTTTAAGGTCCGCTGCTGGATTTCGAGTTCAAAGCTTTGGGGCGGTGACAGTTTTAGCCCATGCAACTCAATGTAAACTCTATACAGCCCTTGATGGGATTTTGAAGGGCCCGGTTGGAAGGAGAGATTGCTTTGCGCAGGTGGAGTCTACACTTTGCAGAACCATAGGTTTTACATGATCCCCGTGAATAGGCATTTATGTCCTCAATAAGTCCTCCTCATCCAAAAGTAGCTCCACCAGCTGGCAACGTCTAGATCAAACTCTTGAAGCCTAGAACCAAAATCCTGGACCTTATTCTTTTAAGATCAGCCACCATGGATTTCATCATTCAGTGACCACCAAGAGTACAAGCTTTTTAGCAGAGCAGTTCAATTCCTTGTGCGACCTCTGCAATCTCTGCATGACCCAACTGTCACCTTCTTGTGCTAGATTACTTGTATGGTCCGTATGGTTCACTATGCTTCTTAATGTTGATACAGTGTAACTTCCACATATGTGAATCATTCCTGCGCAGTCCCTTTGTCCAGGGCTGACTTTTCAAAGGATGACATTTGATTTGTCTTTGCTTCGTATTTTGAGAATTCGTTTTTGAAGGTCCCTTCAGCATTCGTGACTCTTGAAACACTGCGTAAGTTACAGCATTTGGAGCTTTTCAAAGGCTAAGATTGTGCAAAGTTGCCTCTTCAGCAGCTCTTGAAAGCAATGAAGACAGCAAATTACGCATTTGCGGGTCCTGAAAGGCTTCAAGTACTCTATGTGCGGCCAATGCAAAGCTACGAATATTGCGAATTCCCGCGAGTTCTGGAAAGCCAATTGAATATTGCAAAAAAATACAACATTGATGGCTTTGGAGAGGCTGCGAGCACGGGAAAGTGGAAGTTGCGGTTTTGGTAAGTACGGCTGCAAACACGGTGATTGAAAGCCCATCCAATGCAAACACATGACAGCATTTGGGAATCATGAGGTCTGCAGAGAATGTAAATTCCCATATTTTTCTGCAAGCGCCCCCTCCCCCCCCTCCCCGCACAGTCCACCCACTCGTTTTACAATGCGGGCGCCATGCTTAAAACTCCCATGAAACGTGTCCAAGAAGGTACATTGGTATCTACCACTTCCCGCCTTTGAGAACTTCTTCTGACGGTACTGAATGATGATTTTTGCGCCACGCGTTGGTTCCGCGTACCCCAGACGATGATGAACATAAGTTGCTAAAGTACCTGACCGCTGTATTTTACAACATTTGCTGGCCCACCAACAAAAAATCCGGGCCTGTTTTAGATGTAGGTGACATGTAGGCGCCGAAGAAGCCCTAAACAGCAAGTCCAAAAAGACGCTACGGCCATAAAACTAGCCAGGAACCCTACAAGGCCCTCAGCCTCAACGACAGTATCCAATGTATAGGATCCTTGATTGGGACCGTGTTGCTTGAGGGAACCCCAATGCAAACTCTAAAGTTACAGGCTTCGACGACCACCGCGAATACAGTGCCCACGTGGCCCGGCCCCAGCCCCAGCTGGGGGCTGGCCGTGCGACGTCCGAAACCCCTGAGCAGCAGTGGAAGGAGGACCTGATGGGTTTAGGGCTTAGGGCTTGTACCAATGACTGTGGTGGTAGCAGTAGCAGCACAAGAAGCAGCAGTAGCAGCAGCAGCTGTAGCAGTAGGTGTAGGAGGAGCAGGAAAAATAATCTCAAGCATGGGGATAAGAATCAGCAGTATTGGCTATAACTACAGCAAGCAAAATCTAATTCGTTGGTAATGCTACCCACCGCTGCGTTTAGGGTTTAGGGTGTAAAGTCCTAACATGCCATGTACCTCCAGATGGCATGTTGCCCTTTCTATTTGTTCCCAGACCAGGGTTTGGAGCGAGATGGATATGATTGAAGATAAAGAATAAAGCATCACTGCATCACTATAGAAATCGTTTGCAGTGCAAAACATTCCGGCACTAGCTCCCGCATGGGAACAGTTAGCAATGGATACAATGTTTTTCGTGAAAGTTGTAACAGGCCTTTTCAGCAATGGCCATCAGCTGGGAGCAGAAGATAAGGCAGCGTTTGGACCTGTACTCCGAAAAGTCAAAATAGCAGGAATTAGGGTTTAGGGTACGTAGCAACAGCGCGATAGCCAAACGCAATAGGCAAAAGCTTCATGAGCATCACTGCCTAAAATCACTAATTCTGCTTACATTCGCCTGATCTAACCCAATATACTGTAATAGTTTCCAATTTCCTTTCCATTCCTGAACTCTAGAAGAGAGGATGCCTTCTTTGGCTGGCTTCCGGGACGTGGGCCTGTGGAGGAAGAGCAACACCGGCTGCGTCGCCCACTGGAGCAGGCCCGTTTAGCTCGGCTGCCGTCCTTTGCCGAGGGCGCCCCAGAGTTGGCAGGCGTAACTGGACGTGGAGTTGGCATCCTAACCCTGTGGATCAATGGAGCCACCAACCTGGCCTATAGTCATGGCAGTGGCCTCTACGGGACGCCCAGCCCCTGCGTCAGGGTCACCTTGCAAGGAGACCGCCGCGCACGGGGTAAACGGGGGCAGGAGGAGAAGATCACCCCAACCATTGCCCGGAACCGCAATCCCCAGTGGAACACTCCGGCCATGCCCCTAGAGGTGAATTCCGTCTCTGATATGCTACAGCTGGAGGTGCTGGACCTTGCGAATCCCAGAGTTGATGAACACATCCACCACTACTTCCTGGGTCGTGCGCAGCTACCGATTGAGCGCATCATTGCGGCGGTGCACAGATCCAAGAATCCGAGTCGTCCGCCTGGGGCCCAAGTGTTGTTTCTACATGCCATGAGTGGTGGGTTCTTACATACGGGGCCATAATGTAGACTCCAAGATCGTGCATTCCTCTTTTTTGGGACCTCCCAAACCTAGCCCCGCATCTCTTGGAAACCTTCAAGTAGCAATAGGTAGTGTGGCTCCAGCATCGGGTCGGTAGTTCTGTTTGCCACCTAAGATTCCCATTGTTCAAGCGAGCATTCACGATATCATCAAAACTTACTGGCTCTTAGTAGGGAATATGGGAACCTATTCTGTGGGGGTTATATAGGGATTATAGATCCCTTGTTCCCTCTAAGAGCCAGTAAGAAAAGGGACCTTGCCTGATCGCATAATCTGCCTTTGTTCTTGTGGTTCCTCGGAAATCCCTGTTTTGAGAAGCCCGGAAACACTGATCCACAAGCCTTATGTCATTGGCATAGCATATTTTGACATTATCGATCCCTTAGATGTACTCACCTTATCCTGATCGATCAGCGATTGGTTTTTGCGTGCCCCTGACTCGGAACATGACCTGACATATGATGTGTATATAATATAATCCCCTTTGAGGAGTTTAGACTCTAAACCCTAAGAACTCAACCCTGAACCTTGTATAACCCCTTCAAAACTCATAGGATTCGAGCCCCTGGTTCGACCCCATGAGGCTGCAACTCCGGGAGAGTTTGGAAGGCTCACAAGCCCAGGCGCAGATCGATTTCGAATGTACATACGAGGCTGCTGGCATGCAGTGTGGGTTTGGGGGTTTAGGGCTTAGGGCCAGGGTTGAGGGCTTCTAGTTTGGGGTTGAGGGTTTACGGTTTAGGGGATGCCACGGGGGAGTGTTCCCAAAACCAGGACCTTTCTGGGAGCCCCCCCGAATAAGGATTATGTGAGCGGCCTGAACCTTCCCTGAAACCCTAAACCCGATATATCCCGATTTAACCCTACATAACCCCTTTCCCCTTCCATTGAAGAGAACCTAAACCCTAAACCCCTAGGCCTACGACACAGATGCTGTCTCACCGGCGGGCAGCAGCCCTCAAAGGGAGAAGTATCACTCGACGCTGTCTGCGTGCCCTGGGTTAGGATTTAGGGTTTAGGGTTCAGGGTTCAAGGTTCAGGCTTTAGGGTTTATAGGGTTTATAGGGTTTATAGGGTTTGCTTAGAGTTGGGGGATCCCCTGATTAGTCTTGAAACGGTTTTCCTGGGGTCCGATTCGAGGGTCGATTAGCCTGGCAATCAGTGTAACCCCCTCCCTATAATCCTTATCATTGGGACCTCCCCAAAAATCTATTCCTTGGAAAACTCTACTCTTCAAACCCCTACAAAACCCTGTTTCCCCGCTTTTGTCCATTTGGAGAATCAATTATTGGTGCAATATATCCCTAATTTGGGGAAATCCTAAACCCAATTTATATATATGTATATATCTACACACTCATACTATCCCACCCAAATTTCATTATATAGCTTCCGAGCCCCTTTAAAAGGACACCGGGGCAGCCCCAGATATGTCTAAAGGGACATCCCAAGTTCAAGCTTCGTGGCTCAGAAGGTAACCTTAAGGGGTTTAGGGCACAAAGGGTTTAGGGTTTAGGATTTAAAGGTATGCGGCTGAGAAACCATGCTAACCACTGAGTTATATAGGGATTATGCAGAAGTAATGCAGGGTTTCTATAGGGATTATACAGGGATATGTCGGGGCTTTCTAAGGATTTCAGAGGATTTGAGGGCTACTTTGCATACCATACAACTTAGCAACGTCTTGTGGCATGGTGTCCTTGATTTCAGGTTCAGGGTGTGGCGCCAGGAATTTAGAACAGAGCATGGCTTTGGACATAGTGCGATGATCGTGCTCGGATGCCAGTGCATTCTTTGGTAAATGGGGGGGGGCCGATATAGATTTCAATATCCCTGAACCCTACACCCTATGTTCAATATTTTATACAGTAGGCCGTTTATAGGGACACCGGTCTTTTTGGAAACCCTGCATCCTAGCGGAGAGCCCTCCAAGTACATAGGTCTTCAGTGTTGAGGGGTTTCAATGTAGGCGAATCAAAAGAGCATATTTCGTAGTTTCCATTATCTTGTCCATTCCTCACGTTCATCGACCCCTACAGTAGGTGAAGCCTCTAAACCCCGAACCCTACAGCCCAAACCATCATAAACCCTAAACCCCAAACCTTAAGCCCTAAACCCTAAACCTTAAACCGAAAAAAACCCTTAGAATCTGAACCCTAACCCAGGAGCCCACACAGCTCGCCCGGCGGCAAGCCTAAACGGCAAACTTCTGACATGGGCACCCTGGGAATCCTTTCTGCCTCTTGAATACAAGTTATATAGGCTAGCATCTAAGCTTCTTAACGGGTGTTATACAAGGTTTAGGGTTTAGAGTCTAAACTCCTTAAAGGGGGTTTTATAGAGTGTATTGTACAGGGAAGCTTCATAGAGCCATAGGGGTTACTAAGGGGGATACTAGGAGTTTACACTATAGTTCATATGAAGAAGGAATTTAGAAGATATGGACTATGGACCCCCAAACCCTAAACCACGCAAAGTGTTTGCCAACGGGGCTACTAGGAGTTTAGACTATATCTCATTTGTATAATTAAGGTTATGGGGCATGGGGACCCTTTCTTTCTGTCACTTGAAGATCTTTTGTATAGGGCCATTAAGGGGTCATATAAGGTTATAAAGGGTTAGAGAAGGTGTATGTATATAAGTCAATATCATACAGGGTGTTTACGCAGTCTAGGATTTGCTCGAGGGCCAGAGTTTGCTTGAGCTCCACAGTATGTAGCTGGAATATGTTTCTAGTGTTTTATATGTTTTCGAAGTCAAGATAGGGCTTTGCAGCCACCTTTCGAGGAACATCCGGATCCTGATAGTCTGAAGGTAAATAGGGTTTTAGGGTTTAGGGTTTAGGGGGGTACCCTATCCTAAGTAGTTTCGGGTTTTGGTCATTGAGGCAGGATGTCAGGGTAATATGAGCCTCTTTGGTTCTTTGGCTGTTAGCCTTTTTTTTTGCTCCTGGATTCTGGTGCTTTGGCAATTTCCATACGGATTGTACATGGAGTGGTGTGAGCTTGTGGTGTGGGCATCACATCATTTGCTTTGGGAAACTCCCATGCGCAGTTCTGTTTGCAAAGATGATCATTCAAAGAGCTGTCACTACAAGTACCGAGGTTCGCATCATTGCTGCCTACAACTTGATCAATGCAGATACTGGCATATTGGGTGACGTTTCGGACCCATACACGACTGTGCGACTGGAGAGTCAAAGCGAGAAGCAGCGAAAACGGACGCATACCATCAACAACGATCCTTGGTCATGTTCAGCAATGCTTGTCCGAGGCTTGCTGGTCCTTGCTTTTTCGTTGCGGCTGCTCTAGGATTCGGGCTGTCCAGGCTCCATTCATTTTCAAACATGGCAGAAACATGTTCAGCCATGAGTTTCAGTGCGGATTCTGCACGCAGGAACACTGCGCACATCCAGTCGAAATGGGGTAGCATTAGTAGGATGGAAGGGCCCCAAAAATTGTCGTGACTTTACAAAGTCTAGGCCATTACCATATATAACCCTTATATAGTCATTATATAATCCCTATATTCCTAGGTAGTCCCCATATTAGCCCCCTACACAAACCTTTTTGGATGGAAAGGCCCCAAAATTGTCGTGACTTTACAATCCCTAACTTAAACCCTAAACCTTAAACCCTAAACCCTAAACCCAAAGGGTTCCAAGCCTGGTGCTCCAGGATCTGAATCCCAAATGGAATTCGTCGCCCTTCCTCTTTCCGGTCCAGCACCCTGGCATGTGGTAGATTCCCAAAATAGGGAGAGCCCCATATAGACCCCAAAATACTATAGTCTTTATTATGGGGACCCCCAGAAAGGTACCCCTAATTTTAGGAAACCCCCATGTAAAGATTTCCGGGAGAAATCCGAGTTCTGCCTTGTCCCCAAACGTGGGGTGACAAAACTGACGGACGTTTTTCCAGCACTCCCGGCAAACCGCATCCATAATCTGGGTTGCTGTTAAGGAACTTAATTTAAGTTACTATATTGGGGAAACCCTATTATTTTCTATATATATATACCCATTATGGTAACTTAATTTAAGTTCCTTAACAGCAACCCAGTAATTCTTAGACGCATCCACTGCCCATACGTCAGACTCGGCATTGAATTGTTAGGTGTCAGTATGTTTTCTGCTTGCTATACATGCATCTAACTACGAGTCGGAACTGGTTTCCGTGTCTCTCTGTTCAATGTGTATAGTAAGTACATGTTCCTGTTTAGCATAGGTCTACACATGAGTATGAGTCTATCTGGACGCTCTCTGTCAGCTTGTGACAGCACGGAAACAAAATCACGACTGCTCTGTTGTTTCTGCCATTGCTACTTTGATCTCAGAAGGGCGGCAGAGGTTGCAGCGACTCCACCAACAGCAGCAGCAGAAGAAGATCAAGGTAAACATGAACTACTAAAGATGTTAAGTACCCTGACGCTTTCATAGCCCCAAGACCCCATTCAGAAAAGTAACGTTGCCCATCCCATCACTCCCATACTAGACCAGCGCAACAGACTCAATAGACAGTGAGGGAGAAAGACTATAGATGCCAAAACAAATGCAAGATTCCCTGTGTAAGTATGGTACAGGGTAATTCAAATGGACCTCAGCTTGATGTCCGTAACTATACCACTGTGGAGGGTCGGGGTTGTAAGAGGGAGGGCTTGGCTTATCAGAAATCCAACATCAAGGACCCTATGACTACTGTCCCGGAGATAGAATATGGGGCATATGGGGACCTTTTTATGATGCTGGGCAGCTCCATATCCTATCTAATACTTACGGGGTACTATATGACTGTGATGACAGTGTCCTAGGGTCCTTGATGCAGCCGTGCGGGTTATCGAAATCCTCTTGGATGCTAGGGGTTTAGACTGTAGCTCATATACCTTGACATAAGGCCCGCCTTCCCTGAAGTTTCAAGCGGAGAGACATCCAGCAGTAACATCTTGCTCTACAAAATATTCATTATCACGACCCATTCGGAAGAACTGAAAGCCCCCATCCCAATAATGTTCAATATCCCCCTTATGGTACGCTACAACTACAACATATTGAGAAGATTGAATATTGAGGGCTGGGAGGTGTTGATAGTACGGGGAGGGCATTCTGTACCATTTTCTACGGCCATTTGAGATTCCCACATGTGGCACGGGCACTTCGCATCCTTGCTTGAGTGAGGCATGCGGAAGACCAGCTAATACTGGAGGTCTACGATGAGGCTTTCAGGGGCACACTTTGGGGAAATATGGGTCCTCCTTGCTTGCTGGTTGTAAGAGGGAATTCTGAAAGAAGGGACCAGAGAATGGCAAGGGAACAGAGGCTGGAACCTCTATAGTCTATAACCCCTAAATAATCCCTACATCACCCCTATATGTACGGTATTTATGGAAATTACGGGCTACTATAGGATTCATTCCTGCGTTCCCCACTAACAGGTCTTGGGGATCCGTGACGGGCTAACGGCTAAAGCAATTGCGGCTCTAGCCTGGGAAGTTGGCTCTGAGATTGAAGCCCAGAGGGTTGAGGGTGCATAGGGTGTAGGGTTTCTTGGATTTTGAAGGGTTATAGTCCTCTTAAGTAGATAGAATATGGCTTTGGGTATGTTATAGTAAGACCCCCTTATACCCAATATTCTATCTACTTAAGGGGGACTATATCCTAAGCCCTAAACTCTAAACCCTAAACCCAGTCATAAATACCCCAAAGCGGCCCTGCCCTCAGACAGACGAGGTCCCGTCTCCGGTTCAGTGGCAATAACCGGGGGGGAGAGCCAAGAATGGGAGGTTTAGGGTTTAGGGAGGGAGTTATTGATCATTGCAATTCCATTTGGGAAAAATCAAGGAGACTGCCTTTTAGAAGGCCTGATGGGATCTCTGGAAGGCTTTAGTCCTGCGTTATCTCCCATCAAACATATCCTGTGCATCCTGACTTCTCCTGCTTAGGTGTCGGGAACCTGTGAGGATATTAGGGAAATACCCAATTTGCAGCCCTGTACTGTCCTAGAGTCTCTCATATGTATTAACGTAGATTACACTGAGGCCTCATACCCCTACACACTGAGCCGTGTGGTGAGGATATGATGGGCTCCGATGACTTCTTGGGCCGCATGAGGAGCCTTGGAAGTTGTTGATCTCATGAAGAACGCGTCGCTGATGGGTCTCAGGGTTGAGGCTTCAGGGTACCACAGTGGCTCGATTAAGGGGTTTTCGGGGAACATATTGTAGATGAGTGCTTCAATTGTGGATGATCATCTGAAGAAATGCCCGACATGTACAGCCCTCCCTGAAAGATTTTAACAGGTCCCCCAACCCCCAAAATTCAACATGCCCGTCAAGATGCTTCATGTTTTCAGGAGCTGTTTACTTTTACTTGGTGGAGTGGCTGGGGGTGTGTTTAATTTAAGATTAGTGAAGGAATTAACAGGCATGTGCATGCGTCGCGCCTGCATCCTGCATGACATCCTAGCCATCTGCACCTCCAAGCCCTAAACCCTATGTTTTGTGCGGGGGTAATTATTGTCAGGGGGGTGGGAAGGTCAAAGCTGGGGCAAGGACATGATCCCCAGGTTTAGGGTCTAGGGTCTAGGATCTAGGGTTTCCTCTTGATCCTGCATAATTGTGGTGAGAACCCCTTGTATGCCCTCAGAGGACAATCACGTTTATGTTGTTTTTCACCTAGCAGTTTCCATCTCGATTTGCTTTTCCATTCTCCTATATACCTTAGACTCTAAACGGTTTCTAACCTTTCTAGGGGAGGGGATTAGTTACGTTCTTTCCCACTGGCCCTGCAGCGTTGGGCCCAGGATTCCCCTTTACCGCATCATCCATGGCCGTGCCAACCAGCCTGTGAGAATCCGAGACCAGCTCCAGGACGAATGGTCCAGGGTGTTGAGGGTTTAGGGCTTAGGGCTAGGGGTGCGAAAAGGCCAAGGTAGAACCATTTGATATGCTTCAGACTTGGGATGTAGGGGTTGCAACTAAGGAGTGGGGATTAGTAGATTAGGGTAGAGTTAGGGGTTTGGGTGTGGATTTGTTAGCCATTCTTCAGGCCCCAAGCTTGTTTGAACAACCTCTAGACCTATAGTCCCCCTTAAGTAGATAGAATATGGCTCTGGGTATATTATACTAAGATCCCCATATACCCCAAAATTCTATTTGCTTAAGGGGGACTACATATTCAATCATGCAATGTTTTTGTAAGCTGAAAAGGCTGTTTTTGCAGGATTCGTAGCATGGTTTTCTTCGGAGGGGTGGCAGCTGTAGAATTTCAATCCATCCTTGACCTAGTGCTTAATTGAGTGTGACTAGCATGGCGGTAGAAATGTAGATTTGAGAAAGATAGTTGTGCAGGTCGCTTTCCGTCTGCCCCTGAAGCCTCATTATGTAACTTGAGGGGTGAGGGGCGGTCCTCCGAGAAGCGCCCTAAACTTTAAACCCTAAGTCCTAAGATCCTTTGCAAAGAACCATATACCAGAAACCCCTAAACCCTAAACCCTAAATCCTTTACATCTTTCGCGGTGAAAGGACATTGAGACGGGTGAGCTTGAACTGGAGATCGGCTTCTCACCCGGATAGCTCAGGCTGGAGTTTAGGCTTGAGGGGTTGAGGGTTTAGGGTCTAGGGTTTAGGGAATAGGGAATCAAGGTTTAATGTAGCTTTGGGAAGTATGTCTTAGGGTTTAGGGACGGGGGCTATGGAGTCAGGGCATATAGGCTTTTGGGTGTAAGGTTTAGGGTTAAGGGCTTGGGGAATCAGGGTTTTGAGTCTAATGTGAGTGAGCTTAGGAAAGTAGGGTTCAGGGTGTAGAGCTCAGGATCTGGGCAGTTGACGGCATAGGCTTGAGGGCTGTCCTGCCAGTGACTGAAAAAGGCCTTAACAATGCTTCCATGCTTCAAGGAGGTATAGCAAGGGGCGGTGTAGTTTAGGATCTTATCATTGGTTCCAAAATGTCTCGTGGTGGCAGTGTTCTCTCAACAACAATTCTTTGAGCCGTTTCGCATGTAGTTTTTAAATTAGTAGGAGTGTAAATGTGTGGTCCCTGAATCCGTGTTCCGAGTACAAATTTGTTGTCTAGTTGCCCTACTTGGGGGAGGAGTAGCTAAGGCAAACATCAACTGTGCCCTTTGAGAGGTGTGTTTGCGTGTAGGTGGCAGCACTAAATTCTTCTCATCATCTTCAACAGGGCTTACAGTAGGGTTTAGGATCCTAACACAAGGACTTTCAACAACCATTTTCGGATATCGTAATGTAAGAACTTCTAATTAAGACATAAACACGCGTTGTCGAAGTTTTGCAGAAATACCAAGAATTGTCCCTTCACACATCCTAAGCGGATACACAACAATCTACGTACACAACAGGCTGGTGCTAGGTCATTAGACTGGTACATGAAGGCGCGGCCAACATACTGCAGGGCCTGAAAAAAGCTAACATAATTTCAGTTAAGCAATTCTTATACCGGGAATCTAGGACCATTGTATTGGTAAAGATTCAGGCTTCCACATTATAGGGATTGTCCAGGTTGTGATGCGTCACTCTCAGGTACTGACAACGTCATCCACTAGCTCACATGTTTTGCATTGTGTGCCAGAAAGCTTTTTTTGGAAGCCCGAAAAGAGCGCGTGACAGCTTCTCCCAGCATGTGTAAGCAAGCAGGACAAAGAGTTGTAGAATGTCCGATTTCAAGTTATAGTTTTTCTCAAACTACTGGGACCCTTGTTGAGGGTCTAGTGATAAGGACACATCTTCGCAAGCCACATATAGTAAGGAATCTCACTTCCGAGAACTGGCTGCAGGTGCAAGGAACGGCGAGTTTGATTGATTGTTTTTCTGTGACGCAGTTCAGCTCCTCGACGTAGTGCACAATTTTCTCCCGGTGAGAGCCCCAAACCTCAAGCTGCGAAAAAGTAATCACTAGTAATTTAAGGTCTTGTGGTAATTGTATTACAAGTAGCAAAAGCATTCGCGGAGGCTGTACACCCAGCCCTACACCCTAAATCCTCAATAGCCCAAATCCTTGTACGCAATTATCTATCCCAAGTCCCATTTGATTGTCCATGTTCTTTACCGTTTGGTTCTCTCCATTATTTCAACGCGATACCAAAAACCAAAGATCCCTATAACTTCTTTAAGGGAACCTAAGGTGTCCGTTTCTTCTTCCATGTTCTTAACCCTCAACCCTGAACCCTTATCCGTTTGATTTTCCATTATTGGCAGGCTGTGGGCACGCATCGTGCTCGAGCTGAGCTTCGATCTGTGAATCAAGCGTTCTCTTTCTTAGGGTTCAGGGGGGGTTAGGGTTTAGGGAGAATGGTTTATGTGTTTCGGTTTAACTCCAAGTACTTGCATTTTACCGTTTCCTAGTGCAATTGGCGTCTTGTGGGATTAGGATTTGTCTTGAGCTTCTTCTGTGTGTTTTTCGCAGTCCCAGTTTGCCTGAAGTGGGTTGGCCTGCATGCGTGCTTGACTGAAGGGCAAAATGCCCGCGAAGCAGCCGCAAGCAGGCTCAGCCATATTGAGGTTTCCAAAAGTTAGGGGTCCCTGTTTCGGGGTCCCTAAGTTAACCTATATATGGAGACATAATAAACATTGTCATTCCTTCCTAGTGGTTTATCATCCCATGATCACTACAGTTTCCATTTTCTCTTCCACTATCCCTATATAGTCCCTATACTTAACTTTGCTAAGAGCCAGGAAAAAGGAGCCCTGAGTTTCTGCGGTGCTGCGAACCATGAGTTAATGACTTCGAGCGAGCCAAAAATGCCAGAGCGAGCAGTGCGGAAGGAAGGGTAAGGGATTACAATACTACCCCCCCAGGGTTTAAGGAGCTAATAAGGACTATATAGGGCTTAATAAGGCCTGATAGGGTTCTAAATCTGGCGGGGTGTACCTTTGGGGGGGTACTATTGTAATCCCTTAGTTTAGGTAGGGAACTCGCAGATTACAACAGGGTTTCCGTGCTTACCTAGAGATGTATTAAGGTTTAGGTGTTTGGCCTTTAGGATTCAGGGCTGTGGATTTCTGGATCTTGGGTTTGAGTCTGAGGGTTTACCATGCAAAGGGTCTGACTACAGGCATCGCACCATCCGATGGCCCCAGCACCCTGCGAGCACAATCCAAACTGGGAGTTTCTCTAAATCACTGTGCAGCATCCTTGAATTGAAGCCTTTGCACTCCATTAAGATTGTGGCTTGAAGAACATCCATCTGGTCCTATCGGCATCCTTTTTTTGGGAGGGGGGGGGACGCCACTTTGAGAAACATGCAGCTTCCGTCGCAGTCTTCCCCTGAGTTGGGCGGGCTAAAATGGGGTTTGGGGCGGCTAGGATTAGGTTTTAGGTTGAAGCACCGTTCCGAGCGCAACTACTGGTGATGAAGTCGCAACTAGCGGAATGGGAAAGACAATGGAAATCCTAAACCCTAAACGCCAAACCCAATCATAGATGATGTCATGTCCTGGGTTTGGGGTTTTGAGTTTAGGGTGTTGGGTGCTGGCTTCTGAAGATGAAGCTGCGGCGACCCCTTCCCCTTGCGCCCCAGCTTGCTGGGAGGGAGTACTGGGTTCAAGAAGGGCATCGTGTTTATTCCGCGGGAGTTGCGGAGTGAATATATAGTCCCCTTTAAGTAGATAGAGTATGGCTTTGGGTATATTAATAAGATCCTCATATACCCCGGATTCTATCTACTTAAGGAGGACTATAAGTATTACTTATGAGGATCCGCTCTCCAACTTTCCCTATGCATTATATATTGCGTGACTGGATTCTTCAATTTTCCTATTTGCGGACACCTCATAGGCTCTACCACCCTCTTCCCTATAGGTTTAGGGGTTTAGGGTTTAGGGTTTAGGGTTTGAAGCATTGCTGTACGTTTTCCATAAACAATTCTGCCCCAGGAAATTCAACAGTTCTTGCACTCAGAGTTGTTTCAAACCCACATTAGAACTCCTTAGGTGACTCTGGCATTGAGGACTTTTCAACAAGAACCCGAAAGCAAATCCCCAAACAACATGAAAACTGCTCATCATTTCAGGAGATTTCAGGGAAATTTTCCCCGAATCCTGAACCGTGCGTGGGAAGTGCTGGCCTGTGTCAAGGCCCCCTACAGGGGGCTCAGGATATAGGGTGGAGGGTACAACTACCAAACCCAGAGGCTCAATCCCAAAGTCCTAAACTCTAACTCTTAAAGCCGAAGCCCGGTTAGCAAGCGCATTGCCTGAACCCCAAAAGTATAAAGAATAATTGCCTTTTGTGCTACATGTGGGTGTTTCGGGTTATTATTTTACCTACTTTTGGGGTTCAGGTAAACTCTAGACCTTAAACCTTAAACCTTGAACCCTAAACCGTAAATAGTAGTTGCCATTTTACTTTCCACGATCCCAACCCTGAGACCCTAAACCCCAAAGCCTCTGAGGCATGCGTTCCCTTTTCAGGGCTTGCCCTCATTGCCGTCCAGCGTACCGCGAGAACAGCCGGCTCCCCGGAACTCAAGTGTTTGGGGCTAAGGGTTAGGTTTAGGGTTTAGGGTTTCAAGTGTTTAGGTACTAGATGACATGGGGCTTCCATAAACAGGGTGCCCCAATTTACAGCCCTACTTTCCGAAGACAGGCTTTGGATAGAGCTTGGTGGAGGTTGTCAGGGATCAGGGCATGGCCCTCGAGATGACGAAGCCACCATGAGGTTTACGGGTGATCAGATTGCTCCTCCTCAAAAATGCCACATTGCCAGGATCGCCATCACTGTGGAAACTCCAAATGTTGACTTCAGATTTGTAATGGGGGATGTTTGCCAAGGAATTGTTTATGTAGGGCAGGCGCATCTTGATGGCAGTCTACAACGTTCGCCAACAAGAATAAGAAAAGCCCCAGGACGA